CGCAGTCACAAGCTACTGTTGGCTTAGCAGTAAGCAGTTACCCGGGAATTAAGCAACCATTGTAGTTTGTATCCTAGGGAAAGTTGGCCTAAGAGGATCTTGATAGGCATTACTCCGTTTGCTGAGTATGGGAACCATTCCATTTTATTTTTTATTTTTATTTTTTTTTGTATTTACAGTTTTCATTTGGCAGATTAGGGTTATAAATATGTACGTGAGAAGCTTCCTGTTTCTGACGGACAATAAACATTGATATATGTATGGAATGTATAAGCAAGAGAGAGAGAATTATTCTTCTAATATCCTGGGAATCTTTCTTCCTTATTGGTGAAAGTTGCCGGGATTTGGTGAAAGAAATCAGATGATCGATGGACCAACACTTGAATTCTTTTGATGGATTGCTTAGAAGTTCCAACACTTTTTTGGTGGGGTTAAGGTTTCACTGAAATGCATTTTAGTGACACCTTGATATATTTAGGTAAGATTTCCTAGTTGGAAATTTCAATTAGGAACAGTATTATAAGAGAAAAAATAGACATCGTCTTCAATATATTTAAAACAGACGTTTCGGAGTCAATACTCCATCATCAGTACTAAAATAATGAACAAATAAAACGCAAGATTACCTGAAAACATCAATATATTTTAAAAATTTTATAAATCAATAACCACTCGAGCTTCTATTAGGATGACTAAAAACTAAACTTAAACTAAAATATACAAAATAAAAAATAATATAATATTCTTTTTAAAATCGTATTGTGAAAAAACTCAACAACATACACTAAAAGTTAACAAAAATTAGGGCGTATTCGTAGGGTAGAATTCAGATCCGTTCAGCTCCGGTACCATTCTCGCTTCTAGGATAGTGTTCCATATGTTGAGCTCTAGACGTGACGAATTAGAAAACAGAAGAGTGTGAAAGTGACCCCATTTGTTCTCTGAGATCCCTAATAGCAGATGATGTACTCACCTAGTAGATGTACTCACGTAGTAGATGTACTCACCTAGTAGATGTACTCACCTAGTAGATGTACTCACCTAGTAGATGTACACACCTAGTAGATGTACTCACCTAGTAGATGTACTCACTTAGTAGATGTACTCACCTAGTAGATGTACTCACCAAGTAAGTGTAGCTTGGCTGAGGGACAGTCCTATGTGGAGAGAGATATTACCCATGCGATCATAATTGTTCCTGAGGAGTCTTTTCATATTTTATATTTTTAAATTATGTATGTATTTTTACTTTTACTTTATAGACATTTAGCTTAGGTTATTTTTTTCTAGTCAATTTAATAGTAATTTTAATGGTTTTTTGACTTAAATCATTGTTAACGATATATTGATGTTTTTAGCTAATCTTGCGTTATACAAAGTGATAGACAAGGTTTATAACCTACAAATTAATCTCTTTATTTAAAAAAGTCAGAATACGCACTGTGAAGTATTTACTTGTCATCTGTATATAAATTACTTACACACGGTGGAAAGAATTTCCTTTAGTCCTCGTCAACAAAGTCTCGTGGTGCCTGGTGTGTGTGTGTGTGGTGTGTGTGTGTGTGTGTGTGTGTGTGTGTGTGTGTGTGTGTGTGTGTGTTTCTTTTCATTCTCAAAATAGATGGAATAATGTTTCCTTCTTCCTTCATGCATATGGCCTGAAGAAGTCCGTCGCGAGGTGGAATTTGGATGATTTTCTACATTAGAGGAAATATTTCTTGTAATACTAGATAACTTTATGTTGCAAGCTTTCTCGTCTCAACATCTTTTATTTGCTATTATACTTAATTGTTTTTCTTTCTAGTCATTATGATTGTTTTCAAGTCCAGAAATGTTTTAAAATTAGTATCATTAAAGTGAAGGTCACTACGCAGGTGCCTGAGAGGCTTGATTTGATAACCCGTTATTCTCTCTCTCTCTCTCTCTCTCTCTCTCTCTCTCTCTCTCTCTCTCTTATGAGCCAGGAGTCAGGTATCGGGAAAATTAAAATATTCCACCTGGCAGAAGCAGCTGTCTCACCTCCTTGAGAGATATGCCCCGCCGTGACACATGTGTCACAACACAGCGTCCAGTGTCAGTGTCATACCCACATGTCACGATAAGCGGCACAACATGTCACAGGGGCACACTGGGAGTCTCGGGTGACGCGTTGACTTTACCTATGACAGGAGTTTGTTGGTGGCTCGTGATGGAAAGGGTCTTAAAGTGTGCCCTTCGGTGTGGTCTTCGGGACGTGGTCTGTGGTATATCTCAGACCGTGAGAGGTATATGTGAGAAGTATACGTGAGAGGTATAACTGAGAGGTATAACTGAGAGGTATAGCGTCTGTTCTCACGTCTTCTTGGCACCAATGCCAACTTCGTTATATAATGATTCTAAAAATAATTATTTCACAACAAATTGAATATATTTTTCAAGTACGAACAAGTTCTAAAAATGTATACTTCAGCAACACATTAACGTCAAGAGGTCTGACAACTTGATGGAAAAAAAACTAAAAATATATAATTTTTTTTATCTCAAATGAAAGGTAAATTTTATTTTTTTTTAACTCGCTTCGTACCTGTCGCGTAAATACGATGATGTTGATGATTTAATAAATTACTAATGACACAACTCCCAATAAATCGGGGTTTAACACTGGTTTGGAAACAAAGTGGTTGATTTATGGAACAGATTACTAGCAATATAATAGATATAGGATCGAGGGATTGTTTCTACCCATATATATATATATATATATATATATATATATATATATATATATATATATATATATATATATATATATATATATATATATATATATATATATATATGGTCTCCTGCCGAGAACAATAAGCTTGTATTCCCTGGCACAGGTTCAGAGGGAAAGTTAGATAGGGTGAATGTACTGCTTAAGAGATATAGCCCTCTCTCATCATGAGCTGTGATGCTGCTCATGGATCTCTCTCATCATGAGCTGTGATGCTGCTCATGGATCTCTCTCATCATGAGCTGTGAGGCTGCACATGGATCTCTCTCATCATGAGCTGTGAGGCTGCACATGGATCTCTCTCATCATGAGCTGTGATGCTGCACATGGCTCTCTCATCATGAGCTGTGAGGCTGCACATGGATCTCTCTCATCATGAGCTGTGATGCTGCTCATGGATCTCTCTCATCATGAGCTGTGAGGCTGATCATGGATCTCTCATCACCAGACGAGATAATGCTCAGTAAAGAGGACAATCCACACGAGGTGCTAACACAAATAGCATAGCACTGGTTCTACCACCAGTGGGGCGACAATGTGTGTGTGTGTGTGTGTGTGTGTGTGTGTGTGTGTGTGTGTGTGTGTGTGTGTGTGTGTGTGTACTCACCAACTTGAGCTAGTGAAATCGAGCATCTGCTCGATTTCTTCTGGGAGTCTTACTCCCAGGTATCTGTTTTCTGCTAGGAGAATAGTCTCATCAGGTAAAAGAAACGTTGCCCTTTTGTTTTGCCTCGGCCGGTAATCGAACCCCCACGCTCTTTCAACTACGACTCCCGATCGTTGTGTGTGTGTATACTCACCTAGTTGTGCTTGCAGGGGTTGAGCTCTGGCTCTTTCGTGTGTGTGTGTGTGTGTGTGTGTGTGTGTGTGTGTGTGTGTGTGTGTGTGTGTGTGTGTGTGTGTGTGTGTGTGTGTGCACCACAGAGTGTAGGAGGAGAGCGCTGTGTGAACCTATTAAGGAGCTATGCCTGGACACGCTTAGGATCAAGCTAAGCAACCCGTGCCAAGGTGTAGAACATATATGCTACTGTTGTTATACGAAAAGTTCAGATCTCCCGTATCTTTCCTTTCGTTATTTTCACACACACACACACACACACACACACACACACACACACACACACACACACACACACTCATATATATATATATATATATATATATATATATATATATATAATATATATATATATATATATATATATATATATATATATATTGGTGTATACTGGCAGCAGGTTTTCTTTCAAACATGTTTCATTGAATATGACCGCATATTCTGTATTTATTATTTTCTGGTTTAGGGCTTCTATCCCTCTAACTATTTTCTTAGCATCAGGGCTTAATTGAAAATTAAGCCCTGATGCTAAGAAAATAGTTAGAGGGATAGAAGCCCTAAACCAGAAAATAATAAATACAGAATATGCGGTCATATTCAATGAAACATATATATATATATATATATATATATATATATATATATATATATATATATATATATATATATATATATATATATATATATATATATACCAATGTTTATGCAATTAAAATTTGTGTTTCTGATAATCACATCAGTTTTTTCCAAAGCATAAATTCACACAATACAGTTGATACAAGAGAATACAGCAGCAGCCGTTGACCATCCTCCACTACACATGGGTGAAGCTTCAGAATGGCCTCGTTACGAGTTATGGGCTTATGTGATTCCGCAGCCCGTCCTCACATCATGGCTCAGCGGTGGTGGTCTGGGTGTTGTCTCACACATACACACCAACACGAAGTATGGTTGCTAGTTAGGTTTGTATGCGCGTGGCGGGCCTCCAGGGCTGAGTAACTATGCCATACTAGCAGGGCTTGGGTGTGAAGGAGTGTGATTGCACCGTCAGTTGCAGCGAGGCGTGAGTGTGACTCTCCGCTTGCAAGTGTGGCGGGAGAGGTAGTGTGAACACGCTCGACGGACACACGCATGTTCATTCATAACCAGGAGGAAGGTCGCGCGAGAGGTAACAGGAGCCGACAGTACTGCAAAGCTTAGTGCAACACAACATCAATTTGCTGCTCACTAAACCCCGCCTCCTTTTCCCCACTCCCTCTTTCTGTTTGCCAATTGGAGAATCGAGGCTCAGCGATCACCCCTCCCCCATCCCCCACCCTCGCCCCCTCCCCAAACACACACACACTTAAATTTGGGGGTAGAAAGACGGTTTTGTCTGCATTCTTTGTCCTAACCTGTACGAGGGCGTTTCTAATTTTACCAGCGGGAGGGCAGGGCGTTGGAGAAGGCTGCCCAGTCTGCTTTGCGGCTCCGGGAACACTCTGTTGCCTGTGGTCCCGCTCGCAGCCCGGCCCGTGGACGTCCCTCTAAGGTACCTCCTCCAAGAAGCCCCAACAACCACCAAAATCTCCTGAGCTAACGGAATTAAACTGCTGATTTCGACGGGCAAATCACCAGCAAAATGACGTTCTGGCAGGAGAACTACGGCTTCGTGAAGGATGTGTACGACTTCCGCCTTCAGAAGTACCAGGAATGGATGGATAACTTGGAAGGGATCGTACACAAGGTGATGGCTCCGAACGTCCAGTACACCTACAAGGAGTTCAAGAATATCCAGGACAGTCTGGCCGTAAGTATAATAGAGGGTTCAATCCCACCTATGTTCATTTTGCTAACCCCTTCATCCTCTCTGTCAATTTTTAATTCCAGATTGTCTGAGTGACTGGAAACTGACAACCACTGTGCTCCTGGGAAGGTTAAAATCCTGGAAGTTATGGATCAAATAATTTCACCCAAAAATTTATGTATATTATACATGCATTTTTGAAAATTTGCCACACCTGGATTGACTTATTATACATTTTAGTTGATGGTGGTGAATTATACATCTCGACAGCTTGTGGATTTTAATGAAAACTGCCTCAGGTGTTAGTATACATATATTTTGTATACAAGAAAATAAACTGTTGAACTGTTATGAAGCTACAGTGTGAACTCCACATGTACAGAAACAAGTGAAGGATAATTTGAAAAGCCAAATTTAAGATGCAATCCACAATATCGTGGATGATCCTAGTTGGTAGGACAATGGATCTAATATTTTCGAGGCGGAGTTCGAATCTCTCGTGATCTATGTGAATTCAAATAAAAAAAAAATTAAATACAGAAAAACCGGATACATTTTAAAGAAAATTGTTGAAAAAAGTGAATAACAAGGCTGGAAAAAAGTGATGAAAAGATGAGTGTAGAACTTAATAAGTTGACTGAGGTTCCGATACGATCTTACAAGTTGACAACCGTCAAATTCAAAGTGAATTTTGCCTAAGGTAAAGCGTATCACTCTAGACTATTCCACCAAAGCACTACAATTTTTGACGCAGTTGGGCAAAAACGATAAAGTTGTAGATGATTAAGTGTAAGCACAGGTTGGAAGTTTGATGTGTCAGCTAATGATGGTCAGGTAGCCGCACGACTCTTAACGAATCACTACAGATTCTCTGAACTCCTAAATACGTCGAAATATTTTACGAAAGAGACCAGTCCGTAAAAAAAAAAAAATGCAACGTATTATTAACAATTTAAACACGGCAATACTACGTCTTCTGACTCGATCTCGGTGGCTTGCTTATGATCTGACTCTTCTGGATGGTTAGGCCAAATAGTCGCATTTTTGTACTTAGTGGCCAATCAAGAGAACGGGCCGAGCCAAGAATCACGTCCGGTTTCCTAAGTCTTCCGACCGGTCGTCGACCACCATCAGCGAAGCACACACAAACCTCTACACCTGTTAATTGAAAGTTTACAAGCTGAAATTTGAAGCTGAAGCTCTTTAGTAGAACTGAGAATAATCAAGACGGTGGCATATGATCACGACATACAAAATACTCAGGGGGAATAGACTGGTCAGACATGGACGGGCGTATTTGGCAAAGCGAGTGATGAAGGTTAGTTCTATACACCGCTTCAACTATACACATCAACAAAGCCTTAAAGGTTCTCTGTATACACCAAAGTCTCTCCAATTGTCACAACGGACAAACTAAGGAGTACTAAAACGCGAGACTACAAGATACCGCCCTAACCTAACCTAACCAACTAACTCATTGAAAACGCGGATGCCCGTGAGCCGCTACTTTTCATAGTACCCCGTATTCTTGTCCGTTGGTTGATCACAACTTTCAAAATGAGATTATTTGAGATCTATTTCTAGATCTACTTTCTATTATTTGAGAGGACGGATCGGGGGCACTCCAGACCCACACCTTGCTAACCAAGGGCACTACTTCCTCCTCACAGATGTGTGTTATATTGATCAAATTCAACAGGTCAATTACACTGTATAACAAATGTTTTTGGTTCGTGTGAAGTAATTGTAATGTTCTGATTATTTATGCGTCCAAATAATAGAAAACTGCTTTTATTTCCCCCGAACTTTACTGTGACCTTTGACCTCAGACAGCTTAGGGAAGACGTCTTCAAGGTACCTGAAGGCCGCTGACTTATGTATCAAGGTCGCATGTCTAGATAACGAGTCAGCAGCCTCCAAGTCCATTCTAGATATCTCTCTTAAGCTGTCTTAATCTCAGGTCAAAGTAAAGTTTGAAGGAGTGACAGTCATTGTCTATACTTTTAAAGGACGCAATCAGAAAATAACATTCACTTCCCAGGAACAACAAATTGTGTTACATTGTGTTAAGTTTGGTTGAGACCTTCGTAAGGCACATTCTAAAATCTTATGGCTTTTAAAGTTCTAAGATGCAGACGGAAATGTTATTGGTTAAGATGAACGTAATATTCTGTGAGACGATGCTCTGCTAGTCTGACCGGCGTGCGGGAGGTGTATTATTAGTAGCGAGATACACACGCGCACGCACACGTGCACACACACACACACGCACATTTACACACGCACACAAACAGGCCTCGCGGCTGTTTGTGGGTGGTTCGAGGGTTTTATCGAACCCTCGAACCCACGTGTAATTGTTTTCTATCTTGTACAGAGCAACTGTTTCTGTCATCACCTATGCTGCTCTTGTACTTCCCAACCTACTCACTGTCAGTGTGTGTCTTCTCTGTCTGTTGACATCTTTTCTGTCACCTCGTATACTGCTATTGGTTCTGTCTGTTGGACAACTACTGTTGCTCCTGTCAGCTTCTTCAATGCTACTTTTATTGTATCAATATGGCCATTGCTGTTGCTTATAGTACCCCGTCTACTGCTATTGTTTACAGTTTCTACTTTGGATTTAATTTCCCTAAAATGGCATAGGGAGATTGAAGGAGGAGGAGGGCGTGGCACAAGCATATTAAACATCTTGCAAGCCTTGCTGTGTGTTCTACACTACCCGGTTTGTGTTTTCATTCAGCGATGCAATATCTTCATACATTTATTCACTAATGCTTTCAGTTCCTACTCATCTATCCAGAGAGGAGACCTGATCGCGACATGTTAGATATCTAGACGCAGCCAGGTTCGAAAGAGCTCTCAAGTTTAGAGTATCAGTAAAACAAGTGAGCACAGATGGACATTTGAAACTCGAATAAGCTAGAGGAATGTAAGCAAACCTTTCTTGGGTGTGTGGTGGTGATCTCGGTATGTACTGGTGTACAATGCCAACAAACACAGTTTTTTTTAAGAACACATTCTCACACCTACACCACACACACACACACACACACACACACACACACACACCACACACACACACACACACACACACACACACACACACACACACACACACACAGCCCCTGCCCCAAATAGCAGGGGGCTTGATAGCTGAGTGGACAATGCTATCTACTCGTAATCCTAGGGTCCGGGTTTGATCCCGGGCGCCAGCGGAAACAGAAGGGCAGAGTTTCTTTCACCTTGATGCCCCTGTTACCTAGCAGTAAATAGCTACCTGGGAGTTAGACAGCTGTTACGGGATGCTTCCTGTGTGTGTGTGTGTGTGTATTAACCTAGGTGTGCTTGTGGGAGTAGAGCTCTGGCTCTTTGGTCCTGCCTCTTAACCGGCAATCAACTGATGTACAGACAGAGCCTACTTGGCTCTATCATATTTTCATTTGGAACTGTGTATGGAGTCAGCCTCCACCACATCACTGCCTAATGCATTCCATTTGTTAGCTACTCTGACACTGAAAAAGTTCTTTCTAATGAAAGAACTTTTAAGTTCTTTCTTAAAAGAAATAGTTTTAAGTGTATGGTTACACACTTTTAAGAAAGTGTGTGTGGTGTGGAAAGAGAGAGAGAGAGAGAGAGAGAGAGAGAGAGAGAGAGAGAGAGAGAGAGAGAGAGAGAGAGAGTGAGAGAGAAAGGGAGGAACCTATGTATAAGATATTTAGAAGACATTAGTGGCTATGCAAGAATGTAAGAACACCAATGTTATGTACTCTCACAACCCAATGTACCTTTTTGAATATTAATAAATAAATAAATATAATATGTAAAAATAGGTCGGGATTCAGAACATTAGACAACCGACGCTTAGGACGCCGGGGTCCAAGAGCTAACAATTAACTCCAGCAGGCCCAAATAGTAAATACACACACACACACACACACACACACACACACACACACACACACACACACACACACACACACACACACACACACACACACACACACACACACACTCATACATGCAATAGCATATACATCCATATACAGCAAGGACATCCAGTCACATTACATAACAACATATAGTAAATTGATCACTTGGAGAAGCAGAGCCAAAATTTAGCTTTGAACGCTTTGCCTGAGTTACTGAAGAGCGGAATGGAAAACGGAACCAGAATAGAATCCCCCATACTTAATAATTCTGAAGTTGGTCTTTCACAGTCTTATATTCTTATTTTTGTACCCAAACTCATCTACAACTAAACCTCATCTCCTTCATTAATGTGCATTTGCTGGTATTGATTTCAAATAGCCATTTATCTTCCCAATTCTGTAGTTTGTTGAGGTCTTTTTGTAGTTTGTTGAAACGTTTATGATTATCATTAGTTTCATATAGATTTAGGGAACTTGTAAATTGCAAATGATAAAGCAATACGATATTATCCATAAAAATCACCTGAACTTCATCTGTTTCACTTATCTGACCCTGAGCAATTCTCTGGCTCACGTTTTGTGTACAAAATTTTCCCCCCAAAACGGGATTTTTTCCCCCCGAGACACGCACCAGGATCCATAACGACCTACATCACGTCAGTTTCAGATTAAACCTCAAACTACAACTTGTCTTTTACACACAAACTGGAACTCGTCTCTCCCACTCAGACTCCAACTCGTCTCTTCCACTCAGACTCCAACTCGTATCTTCCACATATACACTAAGCAGTTCATCCACTCTATAACCCATATATCAATGTTCTATTTAAGCAGATAACTGGTTGATACCCATTACCACTCAAGTTTCATATATATATATATATATATATATATATATATATATATATATATATATATATATATATATATATATATATATATATATATATATATAGGGGAGGGTTGAAGGGGTAGGAGAGTGAAGAGAGGGCAAGATTGTAGGGGTGTGAATTTGACTGGGAATAAGGATAGGAGGATGTAAGGGGACATGAAACATGATAAAAAATCTAAAGT